ATTCCTACAACAAATGTCACATTTCAAATTCACATCATCAGTATTATAACTGGATTTACAGAACTTGAATACCGTAGCAAAGCACAGGTAGCAGGCTAGTAATATAATAAAATACATAAAAAACACTAGAACTAATCAAATGCTGTCATGAATAAATAAAGATTGAGTGTGAGAGGGGCCAGGCACACCTCCCAGGGGAGGCTGTTTCATAACCCTGGGGCTGCTACAGGAAAGGCCTTCTCTTGTGTGCCCACCAGCCCAGTGTCACTGGTAGACAGGGCAGTCAACAGGACCTCTCATGTGATCTTAGTTGCTGGGCAGGAACGTATAAGAGAAGACAGTCTGTCAGATACCCTTGTCCCAAGCAATGTGGGACTTTAGAGGTCAAAAATAACACCTTGAATTGGGCTTGGGAACAGATTGGAAGCCAGTGTAATTGCTGCAGGACTGGGGTCACCTGACCTCAGTAACTGGCCCTGACCAGCAGGCTAGCTGCAGCATTCTCCACTACGTGTAGCCTCCAAACACTCCTTAAGGGGTATCCCCAAGTAGAGCATACTACAATAGTCCAGTTTAGATAACTAGGCATAGAAGACCCTGATGCTGGGAAAGATTGGAGGTCAAAGAAGACGGGGATGGCAAAGGATGAGATGGTTAGACAGTGTCATAGATGCAACGAACATGAAATTGAGCCAACTTCAGAGGACGGCGGAAGACAGGAAGGCCTGGCGTGATCTGGTCCATGGGGTCGCAAAGAGTCGGACTCGACTGTGCCACTCAACAACAACAACAACAAGTGCCATTAAACCAAGAATTCAACTACTGCATCCCATGGGTGGCATAAATTGTTCCCCAGTACCTGGACACATCTTTAATGCTTCCAGCTCATCATCATTTAGGTGGACGTATGAATGAAGGATAGACCAGTCTTGCCGATGCCACGCTAACACAGGTAACGTCCTAAAAGGAAATGAAGTCAGAGTTGGGATAATGCTTTGATTAATGTTTTAGAGTCTGACAATCAATGGTTTGAGTTGCAATTCATGAAGAGAACATACTGTAGATACAACTCACAGCTGAAGAACAGACTTTCAAAAGGAAAACAGGCACATATGAGTCATTTATTTTATCAGTTGCTGTACCTTGTAAATTCCTGGACAGCTTCTATTCGCGGGTGATATACCACAATTTTTTTCTTTAACATGAGTGCAGTATACAGGATGACTGTTTCCATTCCAAACTGAGATATTATATCTAGAACCAACAGAAGAGAAAGCGGTTTTAGTAAAACATGGTGGCAAATCTCTATGTAAAAACTGGCAGGAATCGGGAACAACTTATTTTAATTAATTGTGAAATAACTCACATGACCACAAAAATGAAGAATTTACTCAGCACTGAGTCACAAGGGAATGCAACAGTATATGTTGGCTACAAATTTACATCACAATATATCTTGGACTGCATCCTTTTTTTTCCAGTTAGTTTTGTTAGTTAGTTAAGTTAGTTTTCTGTGGATTCTCCCGTCCCACTGTAGAACTACAGCAGGATTTCAGTGACCACAGTAGGCTGAAGGGGAAGGTGGGAAAGGTCTGTTCCACAAGGACTGAGCTCAGGATCCAGCGCATTTTCTTTTTAGCCTACAAAATGTTCTGTGTTCCTTTATCAGACTCAACCTGTTCATAGGCCACATTAACTAAACCATTACTTTCCCTATATTAAGTTCCACGTCTTTCCCATTCAACATAGTTATGTCTAACTTAGCTGAACTGTCATTACAGAGAATCCCCAAGTTCCAAGAGTGGCAAGATGGTTGATGAGTCCTAATCCAATTCAACTGAAACCCAAGTACAGTTTCAATGTTACCTTCCTAGACAGCCTTGGACACATTTCAGCAATAGCTGAAATGTCTGTCTCTGCCAGCTGAGTCTCAGACAGCTGCATGGCTAAAAAATCAAATGAGTTCTATAATAAAACCTTTGTTGTCTGACACTTGATTATCCAGAATGCATGGAGTAAATGGCATCACCCAGGGAGCAAGATCCATACCCCTGTGTACCCTGCCCCCACCTCTCCAGCTTGATGCTGGCTTCTGGCTGCTGACATCATCCTCAGGTGCCTCCTCAGCTTACCTCAAGCGGTTGGGATCTAGCTCTGCCAAAGGGCACCCAGGCAGCTGGCCCATTTGCCTAGTCACTGTGTAGGATGCCTCAGGAGAATGGGGAAAGGTCCTGGCAGGCATGGGGGATGTTGCCTAATGGGGTGGGGTTTAGTTGCTGTGGATTCCTCAGAGTAGGGTGGAAGAGCGACAAGTCTGAATATCTGGCACTTCTAAATATCTGGCAACCCCCATTCTGCATGACTGCCAGACAGCAAAGATTATACTGCACTTGAGAACACACAGTACGTCTTCAGGAGGTTTTGGAGAAAGGTCTTTAGACCAAAGTAAACCGCTTCTAAGAATGCTTATGCTTCATCAGCTGCACATTCAAATACTAAATGTTTAGGAAGTGTTACTGTGCTTCATGTAATGTGTCATATCCACAAGGTCAATACAACTGGCATTTCTGCTGCAATATTTACGTGAAAATATATCCCACTGAAATAAATTGAACTTATTTTCAAACAAATACGTTTAGACCAAAGGGCTGAATTGCAATGATAACCTCAGAAGAATTTTCCCCCACCTTTGATTGAGCCTGCGAGATAAGCTTTTCTGACATCAAAATCTTTGCTTAGGAAAGAGCCATTTTCTTCACTCTGGCAGATTCCCTTTGTAAGAACAGAAATATAACTCTCCATCATTTTTACAGGACTTCCATATTTCAGGTATATTCTGTAAAATAAAACAAGTCTCCACCTTTTTAACTGTGCACAAACCCCGCCCCCCAAGAGGATAAAAAAGTGTTTGCAAGGACAAGTGATCCAGCATACACTACTTTATGCCAACATCAAAGAATTTCAAAATTCGCACACAAGTGTATATCTTTCTGCACTCTATGGCTGACTCATAATTATGGTTGAATTTCCTGTTTTGCAAGTCAGTTACAATTGTGAAGCTTAAAGACAAGCTTTAGTCTAACTGGCAATATTGCAGGTTTTCTAGGAAGCTCTCCAGTTAAAAAATATATGTTATTACATTTAGACTAACTACTCTGCTGTTTATTTCTGATGCTTTTCAAGTTCTGACCATAAAACTAATTGGAACATACCACTTCAAAAGTGCTGATAGGAAACAGATACACCCTACATCTCCATCAACAGACAGATATTGTTGGTCTTAGCCTAGATCTAACTGATATGGTAAGGAGTTTCGGTGGCTCAAGTGGTTAAGATGCTGAATTGCAGGCTGGAAGGTCAGTAATTCAGCAGTTCGAGACCTGAGTGCCGCATGACGGAGTGAGCTCCCGTCTTTGCTTCCAGCTCCTGCCAACCTAGCAGTTCAAAAGCAAAAAATTGCAAGTAGATAAATAGGTACTGCTTCAGTGGGAAGGTAACAGCATTCCGTGCGCCTTGGCGTTTAGTCAAGCCAGCCACATGACCACGGAAACGTCTTCGGACAGTGCTGGCTCTTTGGCTTGGAAACTGAGATGAGCCCTAGAGTCGGATTCGACTGGCTTTCGAGCAAGGGAAACCTCTACCTTTTACCTAACTGATATGGTAAATCTGTGTGAGCCGTATCAATTGAGAATGAAAATGACTGAATAAATTGTTGAATGCTCTTCCATACCAATCTAAAATTTGCTTCACAAAGAAAGCATGCATATTCATTTATTTACTTTGCGTATAGTTTGCCTTTCCCACTGAGACACAGAGGGACTATGGCTGCCAACTCAGCCTAATTCCTGGAATTCACAGGGGATTCTTGTTTTTAAATATTACAGCATTCAGTCACCACCCAGAGTGCCAAACAGAATTGCACAGACACAGCTTTACCTTTTCAGCAAGGTCTAGCACTTCCAGCATCTCTTATGATTCTTCTCAGTAAGAGAACATTTAGATGTAAATTCATCCATACCCCACAGAGATATATTGTCATATTTACTTTATAATGACTCATTCATGTGGAACACCACAACGCTCATAGAATTTTGCCTACTTGTTTCCACCCTTTCCATCCAAATGCACAAAAATTCATGCTTCTTATGCATCTCCCATATCCCCATTGTATTTACCATCCACCTGAATTACTCATTATGCTCTGGAGCAAATACTTTTATTAGCTACATGAAGGGAAGCTGGACAGAAACATGGGAGGTATGCCTGCTCCTTCTATTTCCTAAAATTGTCATGCCAATTGCGTGCACTCATGATAGCAAAGAAATTATTTCTATACACAATCACTGTGTCCATTCTCAATTGATCTATTCCATGCCATTTTTTTAAAAATTCAAGCATTGATTTAATAAGTTATTTTATAAAAGCAATTGATCCACAAACAAGAGCTTGTTTTGACAGCAGTTTTGATTTGAAAAGTGCTTTACAATTTTTAATTTCACACAATGTCCTAATCCTTACATTCGCAAGAAAAGGAAACTGAAACTTTGTAGTGGTTAAGTGCATGGACTCTAATCTGGGAGAACCGGGTTTGATTCCCCACTCCTCCACTTGCAGCTGCTGGATGACCTTGGGCAAGCCATAGTTCTTTCAGATCTGTCCTTGAAAGGGCAGTTCTTGAAAGAGCTCTCTCAGCCCCACCTACCTCACAGACAATGCTCCCTCTAAGCTGTGGAGTCCTGAGAGCAAAAATTTGACTTTGTGAGCTACTGGCGTTAAAGTTGTGAGCAGGTGATTTGGCTACTGCATAAATCAGTTTGCTCTGGAGCCACCCTTCCTGAGCTAGGACAAAAATGTGTGAGCCGGAGGCTAAAAAACTGTGAGCTATAGCTCACGCTAACTCAGCTTAGAGGGAACACTGCTCACAGGGTGTCTGTTGTGGGGAGGAAAAGGGAAAGGAGTTTCTAAGCCGCTCTGAGACTCCGAGTGAAGGGCGGGGTATAAATTCAATCTCTTCTTCTTCTTGTGGCAAATATGTATCTAAGCTGTTTCAAAATTATTAATTCTACAGTGTCAATAATTGTAATGACTTCCAAATCAGACTGTTATCTCTTGTAACAATACATGCTTGAAGGCTTTTTTTCAATCATCTAATAATATAATTCTCTTTGCAGTGTGGTTTTGGCGCTTTAACATTGCTAGTAAATAGGGCTATCATCCAATTTAGTTGATTAAGCAATCACATGGATTTTAAAATGGATCAATCCTGCATAAGAACAGAGTTGTTTAGAAGAAAAATAATTTTATTCACAGATGATGCACACATGGCCCACCAAGTGACTTCTTAGGAGAGGGGAAAGACCTCTTATAAGCTCATGCCTTTTTCTTGTTGTGAGCAGTAGCATTACATGTCTAATGGGTGGTTCGTGCCAATCATAGCAGCAAAAACAGGTCACCTGCAGAAACCATACGAATTTCTATGTACTCAAGAGACTCAAGCAGGAAAATATTACCATATTAAATTAGCCAAAGAACTCTACCAACATTACACACACACAGCAAGATTAGGACTGACTATGTTCCCAAAGACACGGAATGTTGAAATTAGCTACAAGTCAATTAAAACAAGCTGCTTGCTAATTCCCCCTCCCAGCAACTTCTGACAGACCCCCAGGTTGCAATTAATTAATGTCTTAATCAAAAGGTTAAAATTGCCCCTGACCTGGATAGCATAGGCAAGCCCGATCGCATCAGATCCTGGAAGCTAAGCAGGCCCGACCCTAGCAAGTATTTGGATGGGAAACCTCCAGAGAATACCAGGGCCAGGAGGCCTCAGGCAGGCCAACAAGCCACTTTGCTAAACGTCCTCCGTTCCCCAGTAGGAGTTGCCAGAGGTCGCCATGACTTCCAGGCATGGACACACACACAAATGCGAAAATACCAAAAAAAGGTTAAAATTGATATGTTGATTAAACATTGTTACTGTAGTGTGAAGCAAAGGTGTTAGACGTACCTACAGAGGATCCTAGTGAAGGCCGCATATTTCTCTGGATTAAAGTCTTTGGTAGTCAAGACAATGGAAAAATGTGTTACCTACCCAATACATAGAAAAAAGCTCTTTTTACTAAATGATACTTCTGTAGAACACTAGTCTGCATTAAGACACTTCCATTACATCAACATCAGAGAAATCAGATACAGCACTATATTTCAGTGAAATATATTAAAGAGATTAATTGGATTTGGTCTTGACCAAAATAAGTTTAGTGTTTTTATAACCTAACTACATACAAAAGCCATTTTCTTTCTTTTCCCCATTAAGCCCATGAGAACTGCAGCAGAAAAGCCCCCCCCCCCCCCAAGATCAGGAAAAAGATAATTTACCCATGGGACATATGTTAAATTTATTGATGTTTTCAAAAGTGGCAACACAAAAAGCCCTATTATTTTTCCAAATACAAAGCAATATGCAAGACTATAGAAACACATGAGTTAAAGAACATTAAATTTGAATCAATTTGCCACATAAGTTTGAGTGTGATCATCATGCAGCTTGCTTTTCAACTGAACTTTTAACCATTTAAAACTGTACTTCAGCAACATCAATCACATATTCAAATGCATGACTGATGTAGATTACTCGTGATAAAAGCGAGATATTTTTTATCAAAATATGCAAATAAGGGATACAAGCCAGATATCATAACTCCCTACTATTAATGAGACTATCACCAGTATCCAATGATGTTAAATCAAGGCACTTTCTTGGGATTTCACGCCTACCTTTTTCAAGGCTGAAGAATCTGGAACTTCCATGGTTGTAACATAAAACCATGTCAGTCTGTACTGACCATATACAAAAGTGTGAAGCTGTTTGCTCTCATCTGTAAGGCAGCATTTCCTCAACAACAGATCCCTTAATTCAATTGTTGTAGAAGGATAGCACCAGACCCACAGAGCATCTCCATTGGTATCTTTTTCTATGGTGGAAAGATGTTCACTGTGAGAATGCCAACAGCAGCAAGGAAGTAAATTGATTGGTTAATCAGGTCTCTTTACTGCAATCACCTTAACAAGCCCATTTCACACACATTATCAACCCATTTTAGCTTCTACACATACTTGTTAATTAAGATCATGTTTATTTTCTGTCAAATTCTATACACACATATATTTACACAAACATACAGATGTGTGAGTTGTTTACATAAAAGCAGCTATGGTGTATTACTTATAATGCTCAGACCAGAAATTTTGGAGTAGGCTCATTTTTAAATTAAAAATTCCAGATTACCATCCTTATTCTCAGAAGCACTACCAGCCAAATGTGGATTTTAAGGAAAACTATGCTTCACGGTTGCAGGGGTCATTTCCTGCAGGAGCGCACAGGAGCGGAGCTCCGGCAGTAAAGAGCCCAGGGGGCGGGCACATGCAGCAAGCCTCACCCCCTGCTCCCAGCAGCCCTCAGTCAGAGCAAGAAGCAGCCAGGTAAGCTGCAGAGCTCCCCCCCTGGCCCCCCAGTCCAAAACTGTCCAGTGGCACCTTTCAGACCAAGTTTTATTCAGGTACAAGCTCTCCCTCCTCTGTGAGGGCAGATCTGCATGTCCCCCCCCCACCACCACCAATAGCTAGCAATCCAAAACAGTCCAGTGGAGCCTGAGTGGTGGGTGTTGCCTTCTGACACACGTTCGGTGATGTGAGGGTGTGTGCCATATGCAAATAAGTAACGCTAATGAGTTATGCTAATGAGCTCCTGCAGCTCTTTTTCTACAAAATAACCCCTGCACGGTTGTAATGTTCAGAAAAAAGGTTTATCAGTTAATTACCATCCTATGTACAATATTGGATTTTTCTAGAAAGCTCACCGGGCTAAAGGTAAGACTGCTCCCCCCCGAATTTAGGGTTTTTTTATAACTTGGCATAAGTCTACAAGTAATGCAAGACGACGGGTAGCGGGGTTTAGGCAGAGTCACTCTATGGACAGTAAAAGAACAACCTCACACACTGGTACTCAGTAGCTACCTTTCCACAACCTTTGCTACACCCTTCACCCATAAATACACACTGAGCCTCTTGCATATATTGCTAGGAATCCTAAAATCAAAGTGTTTAGAACCACCTAGAGAAGAAGATATTCTTCGTCCGCAGGGAAGAGGGAACTCCCATCCCCACCCCCCTTCTGCATACCACCTGTCGCCCATTACCAAAGAACAGCGCTCTTTCCGGGGAGGAAAGAGGGAACAGGGAACAGGGAACAGGGAACTCCCACCCCCACCCTCCTTCTGCACACCACCTATCGCCCATTACCAAAGAACAGCGCTCTTTCAAGGGGATATTGAGGGGAAAGGGAAGGAGGGTACGAGCCTGCCTCCTTCTCCTCACGAGCCTGCAAAGTAAAGCCGAGCACAGAGACGCGCTTACCAACCAGCCCCACACCCAACAGCTGCTGAGCCTCCGTCTCTGCCATCTTTCTCCTTCCAGCCAGAGCCCGGCCCTCTTCTGAGGCCCGCCCACTTTCTCAGTGTTTTCCTGGCCCCGTAGAGATAGAAAGAAGAGAGCCACGCACGCCCTCTGTCTTCCGGCGGGGGTTCGGTGCTCCGTGCTGGCCCGTTTGGCATGGTAAAAGCACAAGGCTGGAGGCGGTCAGTCGAGCGCCGGCGGCAATGTAAATAGGTTTGCATTTGCTGTAGCCGGAGGTATTTTGTGGGAAATCTGTTGTGATGTCAAATAGATGCACACGAAATGTATGCATTTGCATTATTCCTACACCCCACGAAATTGTTCTTTGTTCCTGATGATAAGTCGTGGAGACGCGTTCCTTTAATACTGTTAATAAAGAATGTGTGGAGGAGACAGGTTTTAAAGACAACCGAGATCTGCTGTAAGTCGCTCTTTTAACAACATCCAGACGACATATAGCGATAATATGAAGTAGTTGTATACCCACTCGTCTGTAACATGGGGCTTAATTGCAATAAGATAATAACACTCAACTATGTTCAGGGCCCCCTACAGAGGGGACGGGAGACAAAATGAGGAGGGGGAAGTCAGCTGGAGGGCCCTTGAAGCCAAATTATTTGTTTTGTTATAATATTTGGTTTGGATCAGGGTCAAGTGAGAGGCGGCAAGATAGAATTTTTGTCCAGGGGCCCATGGTGGCTCTGGGCAGCCCTGACAACACTGCATGGCAGCATGGTTATTGTAAACCTACATTTTTTTAAACCGATCAGACATTTAGTCAACTATAAGTAGAAAGATGTTGCTGGTAACCACACTAGACGCGAAGTAAAATTTAACAACAAAAACCTTTTATTTAGAACAGACAAAATAACACAAAATAGTATGCAGCCTTTCAAGTTCTCCATAACATTTTCAGAGATAATGTAAATCAAGTTGACTAAAACATGGAGCAAAAAGATTTCAGGCCATGCTCTCAAATGATTGTAAAGAAGTAAGGTAAAGGTAAAGGTTCCCTTGCTCGAAAGCCAGTCGAATCCGACTCTAGGGTTGCAGTGCTCATCTCCGTTTCAAAGCCGAAGAGCCAGCGCTGTCCGAAGATGTTTCCGTGGTCATGTGGCCGGCATGACTAAACACCAAGGCGCACAGAACGCTGTTACCTTCTCACCGAAATGGTACCTATTTATCTACTTGCAATTTCTTGCTTTCAAATTGCTAGGTTGGCAGGAGCTGGAACTAGAGATGGGCGCTCACTCCATCATGAGGCACCCGGGTCTCGAACTGCTGAACTACTGGACCTTCCACAGCCTGCAGTTCAGCGTCTTAACCACTTGAGCCACCGCAGCTCTGTAAAGAAGTAGGTGCATATTAAGTATGAGAGTACAGGCAGCTCATTAACAAGTGATTCAGCTTTATTTGAACAAGACAAGAACAAACACACACAGGAGAGCAACAGGCTCTCTTTTAAACTATCCGGCCTTGGATAACCACACCCACTGATAAGTTAAGAACCAAACCAGAATAGTAATATAACAACTAATGGGTGCATCTCCCTCCATAACAGACAAAACGAACACACACAGGAAAGCAACAAGCTCTCTTTTAAACTATATGGCCTTGGATAACCACACCCACTGATAAGTTAAGAACCAATCAGAAGAGTAATATAACAACCAATGGGTGCATCTCCCTCCATAACGTTTCTTGTACCCTGATTGGCCTACTTCGCAGAGTAGCCAATCAGACTGTGCCGTTCATGATACCAGACTTAGATAGGGGTGAAATTTAAGCTCAGGTATTATGGATACACAGTACATAACACTGCGTTTGCCACAGCAAAATAAAACAGACATCCAATGTGGCACCTTAAAGACTAATTTCATCAGTCACAGATAACTTCCTCAGATATGCTCTTAAAGCCTGTGCAAGTAGCCTATGTGGAAAGCACAGAGAATGGGGGAAGATGATATCAGGTTGCACCTTTGGTCTTATATGAAGAAGCAGCGATTTTGCTTACAAAAGACTGATGAAGAATTCTGGAGAACTTAAAAAGCCTGCATAGTTTATGTTAGTGTTGTTGAATAAAAGGCATTACATTACAAGGTTATAAAAAATCACTTCAGACTCCTCCCTGGCCTCAATAGAAAAAGGTGATAATTGCATGGTGGATTGTCAGAAGCTGGTCTAAAGCTCAGTTCCCTCACAAAATAGACACATTTGCTGTTAATCACTATATCTGGCTCTTATACTTGGCATCCACAGGCAAAGTAGGGGTCTCTTTATAAATTAACCAAAGGAGAGGGGGGAAAAACCCTTCCAAAGGCTGGCCTGATGAGGGCAGGAAATGTTCCAGAAAAGTTGGAATATTGAGAGCAGCTGTCAGTTAAAGGGCAGGAAGTGGCTGCTCAAGCCTGAGAGGTTAGAGAATCCTGGAAGGGGACATTTTGAGGGCTGCAGTGAGGATTTCCAGATTGTTCCCTAGGAAGCAGAAGAATCCCATTTTTCAATAGAAAACACTTTTTTTCAATGCACAGGAATATACCTACAGCCTGCAGGCACTTTGGGATGCTGAGACTACTGGGTACTATGGTATCATTTTCCAAACAATGGGGAGGGTTTGCACTCTGCATAGTCACAGGGAGAGATTTCCCGGTTCAGAAAGTCTGTGTCTGTAGCGATGCCACAGGTGCACATGTGCCTGCCTGTGAGTCAGCTCAGTGCTTTGTTAGTCAGCAGGTAGTGAGTGACCCAAAGTCTCCTGTTTTGTTTTTCTCGGCTTCACTAAAGAAATGCTAGAAAATACCCATGTCATGGTTGGTACCAAAGAATCCTGTGGGTTAAAGTCTAGCGATGGTGAAGGTGTTGAAAATATTGTTGGAATCAAATGACACCCCATGATATAGTAACTTTATTACAGCTAAATTAGCCTCTGTCTGGTCAGTTCTGGGTTGGGAGACGTCCTGAATAAGAAGCCTTTAGGTCTACTAGACAGAAGGCATGGTATATATTTAGTATTGAACTAATGTTGCTAGCAAGAGAAAATTGCTTAAACTAGTAGCAGGCTGCACGATAAGTCATCTTGTTAACATTGTAGTTTCAACATAATTTATACTTTACATTAAAAGGGACTCCTTACTATGCTAAAGTAATGAGGAAACCCAATAAAGATATTTTTATCTCCAAAGCCACGGAAAATCTCTGAATGGGATTCGAGAATCAGAACAAAAGGTAAATTAACAGCTTCTACAACCAGAATATTTCAGGGGCAATGGGGGATTCGAAACCATGCAACACTCAACACCGCGCAAATTATTATGCGAAGGTCAAAAACCAACACAAGCCGGAAGTTGCTGCACACGCGCTCTTCCAAACGATGACGCCGCGCCGAAGCTCTAGGAGACTGCCTCACTTCCGCACACGTTTGTGCGTGAGGGACCACGTGACGCCCTCCCTTTCCGGCCTCGCTTGCTGCCTGGCTGGGCGCTCCTTGGGGTTTGCCTGCCGCGTGAGGAGACGCCGTCGCCATCATGCCGGTCTATTTCCAGCGGCCCGAGAACGCCCTGAAGCGGGCGAACGGTGAGTGCGGGTCTCTGTCGGCCGCTGGCACCGTGGCGAAGGCCGCCTCCGTTTCATGTCGACTTGGATCCCCGCCCGCCTGAGTCTCAGTATGCTGAGTTAATGGAGGCTGAGGCCTAGGCTCGTTTTTTCCCTCCCGCCCATTAGGGCAGCGCCTCTCCCTGTGCCCCAGTTCTCTGTGGCGGAGAGCGGCAGGCAGTGCCCTGTAGCCGCCTGATGGGGTCAAGCGCCAATCCACCCCTGGCAGCTCCTTAATACGAAGCAAGGCCTGCCTGTTGCCCGTGCTGATCGCCGACCATCCTGGCGCCCCTGCCTGCCTTTCGAGCCGAGGCCCTCCTATGCCGTGTGGCAGGAAGGAGACTGGGTGAAGACAGTAAATGTGTTTTGCTTTCCCACATCTGCTACAATAAAAATGTCTGCAACGTTTATCTGGGATGGTAGCCAGTTGTGCGTATTGTTACTGTTTTAGACTACGGAGCGGAGGATCGAATTCTTCCCATGGCTTCGCCGGCCACTCTGTTCCCTTGATCCGTTTTATAAAAAGACGTTCATAACCCAGTTCTAGATTTTGAGAATACTGATCACACTTGCACATCCTTTTCTTTTGTTAGTGAACCTGCTTTCATTTAAATAGTTATTTCTTCTAAGAAAAAACTGTTCGGTGTCGGTCAAGTAGTTGATAGCATTCGGTAGGACTGGATATATTTTCCATGAAGTGTGTAAAACATGAGATAAGGATTTTTAGAAGAAAATAATCGTAACCCGTTTTTGCTTCCTGGTGTGGTTTAGGAAACTTATTGTTTGGCAACTGCTTACAAGAAGTGGGGAAATTGTTCAAAGAACTGGCTTATCTGAGGATACCTTTGTCTGCAAGTTGTGTTCTTGAAAATTTTAGGTTAAGTAGAACAGAGCTTGGTGATAGCCTATGTAGCTTTAAACCAGTATTTAGTAAGTTCACAGCTGTTAGACATGACACATCTTCCTTACTCTGACTTAATAGTCTGTTTCACTGAGTCTACTAAAATACCAGTAACATAAGACACTTGCCTTAAAGCTAGTATAATGAAACATAATTGCTGTCAAGAACAAGCTTTAAGTGGCAGGGTTGGGTGTCATAAAAACTCTCCCACCAAATATTTTATGAACACAGGGTAAGTTTCATTCAAGTGGGCTGTAATCATATGCTTAATAAATAAATAATTGGGTACTTTTAAGAATCATCACTAGAAGAAGAAATTAAATTCTGACATTTTCTGTAGAAATAATCTAAAATCCATTTCAATAAACATGGTTGCTTATTCACATTGCCACTCTTGGAATTACTGAAACCTTCACTGCCCAGGCGGTGTCACTTCCTGAATTTGCATACCTCATCTGATACGTCTATATGTTCAGTTTCTGGAAGTACAAATTTTAACAGTGTTTCATGTCTTTAAACTTTAAATGTTATTTGTTTCAAAATAGACCAGAATTCTAGTCCAGTACACCTTAAAGACCTACAGAATTTCTAGAGTGTAAGCATTTGTGAGTCAGGCTTTGTCAACTTTGACTCATGAAAGCTTATACCTAGGAAAATTTTGTTCGTCTCCAAGGTGCCCCTGTACTTGAATTTTATTCTACTACTATCAGCTAAAACAGCTAGCTGCCTGAAACTAATTTTAAAAAATAGTGAATATTAGATAACTAGGAACTTGACCTTAAAGTTGATTTGGAACCTGTAATTTCACAACAGTGACTGTGAAACCAATAATCACTTGATTGCATCATTGTTTAATATGAATATTGAAACAGAAATGCACATCTCCAGTCACTGAAGGCCTCTGGTAATAGTTCCATCTTGCACTTCACAATACATGGAAAGTGGAAGCAATGAGCACATTATGATGTAGGGATACCTCAAAACCTTTGGCAGGCCTTGGGTCTCCTTATATTTTGCTACCGCAGGGTGTGAATTTTTCTCATGGTGCCACGAAAGAACCTCACATTACAGTTTCTAACCATTGCTAGCCTTTTCTTTCGTGGAAATGGGGCCCTACTAGCATGGTAATGTGCAGTGGTATGGACTCCTCCAGTTGACCTGAGGCTTTTCATAATACTCCAGAAATGCAGCAACATCTCTTTGTCACCACTGCAATACATAAAGGGAAGTAGAGGGGAAAGGTCGCAGTCAGTATGGATTTCTCCAAGTGGCCACAGAGAGCTAGAATGCGTAGGAATACACTTTAAAAATAAGTAACAGTAATAAAAATAAACTGGAGTGTATAGAAAGAGTGGACATAGAAGTGTTAGAAAGCATATAAATTCTATTTCTGCTTATTCTGTAATCTTTGATAGTGCTGTCCTTTCACATTTTTGACTATTTTCTTTTATACCAAGCAACTAATTTTTGTAAATAGCTCAGTCACTGCACAACATTTACATATTCTGATACAAAGGCCAAAATGCAGGAAAACTTGTCTTTGAACCAGTAAGATGCCTGCTTTAATTCCCTTCCAAGGAATGTTGTTATAAATGTGAAGGAAGAATAGCAGGTTTTTCAAGAACAAGAAGTTGTTCAGCTCTTAAATTAGTTACAACTTGAGATTTGTCAGGGGAGACTAAGATGCAGTTTTTCAGTCAAGATCTCTGTGCCTTCTTGGGCCTTGAAATTCGTGGGGCAGGATTGTTGAGAGAAGAAATATATCCCCTTGTTATGTCTGCCTGTTGTGTTTGATGAGACGCAAACTAACACATGTGGATTTTTGCGGCTGCAGGGGTACTCGGAGATTCCATAGGTTGCAGATCTAGTAGATTTATCACAAGCTCTGACAGTTTTGGTCAATTTGTAAAACATGCCTAATAAAAATCATCAGCTCTATTGCAACCTTTGTGTTTATAATTAAAGCCAAATCTTGCTTTAAAACAATTTCACAATACTTGCTTTATGTTTCTAAGTTATTAACTTTTAGTTTCTTCAGTCTCCCTCAGACTAAGAAGATTTTTTTCCTCAGTTTTCAATGCAATCCTGTTCTGCCTAGCAGTTTGAAAGGTTTAGAATTGGTCATTTTTCTAATGTTTGGCTCTCTGGGTCCTCTTTGGAGAGAAAAGTGCGGCATATATGAAGTAAAATAATAATTAAAATATATGGAGCTGGCTTTAATCAGAGGTTTTCTCTCCCCCCCCCCCCCCCCCCCCCCCCCCAGAATTTCTTGAGGTTGGGAAGAAGCAACCTGCTCTTGATGTTCTCTACGATGTTATGAAAAGTAAAAAACATCGAACATGGCAAAAGATCCACGAGCCGATTATGCTGAAGTACCTGGAGCTCTGCGTGGACCTCCGCAAAAGCCACCTGGCAAAAGAAGGGTTATATCAATACAAGAATATCTGCCAGCAGGTAGAGAACTTGAAAAGTTATGTTAACAAAAGGAGGTTAATAAGATCAGAATTTGAATTTGTAGATGCTATGGAGAAATGTACATGCTAGTCCTTTACTGTATATGAGATTTGTCTGTAAAATACGTCAAACCAATCAGACATGTTCAGTGACTGTGTTTTAAGGGCTATCAAGTTGCTTGTGACCTATGGTGACCCTATGAATTAATGACCTCCAGAATGTCCTGTTGTCAACAGCCTTGCTCAGGTCTTGCTAACTGATGACCATGGCTTCCTTGATTGAATCAATCCATTTCATGTTGAGTCTTCCTCTTCTGCTGCCTTCAACTTTTCCTAGCATTATTGTCTTTTCTAGTGACTCTTGTCTTCTCATAATGTGACCAAAGTACTATAGCTTCTGTTTAGTCATTTTGGTTTCTAAGGAGAGTTTGGGCTTGATTTGATCTCAAACCTACTGATTTGTCTTTTTGGCGGTCCACGATATCCGTAAAACACCAACACCACATTTCAAATGAATCATTTTTTTCTTGTCAGCTTTCTTCACTGTATAACTTTCACACCCATACATAGTACTGGGAAATACTATGGTGTGATATCTTGGTCATCAGCCTCACATCCTTATGCTTAAAGAATCCTTTATAGCTCCTTTGTGGCTTCCCATTGTGTAACTTCTCAGCAGTTCTTAGTTTTGTCTTTGTGATGTTCTGTTGTAACCTGCTTTGACACTTTCTGCTTTAACCTTCATCAGTAGTTGTTTCAAATCATCACTGTCTTTAGCCAGTAATGTAGTGTTATCTGTGTATCTCAAATTTAATGTTTCTTCTTCCAATTTTCACTTCACTGTCATCTAAATCCTTATAATATGTCCTGCGTAAAGGTAATGCAAACCTCTTTTTACATGAATATAAGGAGAGCCCTGCTGGATCAGACCAGTAGTCCATCTAGTCCAGCATTCTGTCTCACACAGTAGCCAAGCAGTTCCTCTGGATGGCCAACAACAGGGCATAGATGCCAAGGCCTTCCTCTGATGTTGTCTCCTGGCTCTGGGATTCACAGGCTTAGTGCCTCTGAATATAGAGGTTCCTCTTAGCTACCATGGCTAGTAGCTGCTGATAGACTTATCCTCCATGAATCCATCTAATCCCCTTCTGAAGCTGTTTATTCCTGTGGCCATCACTACATCTACTGGCAGCGAATGCCACATTTTAATCACTCTTTGTGTAAAGTAGTATTTCATTTTCTCTGTCCTGAACCTACTGCCCATCAGTTTCATTGGATGCCCTCGAGTTGTAGTATTTTGGGAGAGGGGAAAAAACTTCTCTTTGTCAACTCTTTCCACTCCATGCATAATTTTATAAAGCTCTATCATGTTGCCACTTATTTGTCTCTTTGCTAAACTGAAAAGTCCCATGGGGCAGATGTGAGGCTGACTGGCCTGTAATTTCCCGGTTCCCCTCTGGAATTCTTTTTAAAAATTGGTATAACATTTGCTACTCCAGTCTTCTGGTACACCAGCTGAATTTAGTATGTATGCCATCACATGGTCTTTAAACTCTTCAGGAATATGGTTTAGATCATATTTTGGCACTATGAATGTTTGAGTGTTTTTCTTCAGCTTTATTTTAATTTTCAATATTAACAATTCATGGTCTGTACGACAATTAGCTCCTGGTCTTGTTTTAGCAGAGAGAGCAGAGCTTTCCATCTTCTATTTCCAGTTATGTAATCTGTTTGGTTGCCGGAAAAGCATTAGCAGCAGTGAACAAATTGTTTTCCTCACAGAATTGTATGAGTTGCTTTTCTGCTTCATTTTGTGCTCCTAGCTCAAATCTTCCAACAATATTTGATTCTGCCTTGTTATCTAATTTTGTGTGAGAATCACCTATGATTAGCAGATAATTCAACAAATAATTGATTCTTAATATCAGTAGGCTTCTTAGGATATCTGAATAGTACAAGCAGTAATGCATTTGCGTTCAGATCTATTACTGCATTTTACTACTGTATTTTGAGTTTCTTAATTAAAATACTGACTCTTATGTGGCAAAGCTAGTTTAATTGTTCCATTGTTGATGCAGGTGAACATCAAGTCCTTGGAAGATGTAGTCCGAGCCTATTTAAAACTAGCAGAAGAAAAAACCGAAGCTGCCAAAGAAGAATCTCAGCAGATGGTGCTTGATATAGAAGATCTGGATAATATTCAGACTCCAGAGAGGTAGGTTATGTTATGGGGATTATTTTTGTCTTTAAGAAATAGCATGCTTGTTGGAAAAAGATTGACCAGCTAAGTTGTTTTCTCAGATCCCACAAAAAGAAAACATTAACCTAACAGCCAATTCTGACATCCTCTGCCACTTGCTGTAAAGTTCATACCAGGCCTACCTGAAACAATTGTTACATCTCCATAACTCTGAAAGATGTGTTTAAAACATGCTGTAGTTTAACTGCATTGTGCTGTACTATACACATATTGGGAAGCAAGAGAAATGGATTGTATGGCATAAAATATTGTTTTTTGTTTCTTAACTAGTGTTCTCCTAAGTGCTGTAAGTGGTGAAGACACTCAAGATCGTACTGATCGGCTACTTTTGACACCCTGGGTTAAATTTCTATGGGAGTCATACAGACAATGCCTGGACCTTCTCAGAAACAATTCTAGAGTGGAGCGCCTCTACCATGATATTGCACAACAAGGTAAAATGGGAATTATGGCGAAACTTATGTGGCCTCTTTACAAGTAGAGGTTTGAAGGTTTTGAATCATTGAAGTGTGGCGTAATTAATTATATATATGAAATTTAATTCATCAGGTGGTGTATGAGCCAGAACTTAAAAAAAAGCACCTTAGAACAATCCCACTTTAATAATGCATGCCTTTTCATTACTTTTTCAAAAGTAGCTCAAGTTTTTCTAAGAAGACGTTTTTGAGAATTAATACATGCTTGTTTTTAGCATAGACTATCTTTTCAGCTATTAAAACATTTAATATTTGGAGTAATTTATTCTTGCAGCTTTCAAGTTCTGTTTGCAATACACTCGTAAGGCTGAATTTCGCAAACTCTGTGACAATCTAAGGATGCATTTGGGTCAGATTCAGCGGCATCACAATCAGAGTACAGCCATCAACCTGAATAATCCAGAGAGTCAGTCAATGCACTTGGAAACCAGGCTTGTACAGCTGGACAGTGCTATCAGCATGGAGCTATGGCAGGTGTGTATTTGTGCTGATGGCATCTTTTTTCTGTCCTCAGCCTCATCCATCTAAAATCTATTTTCATGCTTTGTAACATCCAGTAGCTAAGAGAGCTTCACAGGTGTAGAGTTAATTTTACAGCATATAGTTGGATGTAAGATTATATTTAGAAGTTTACAATTAAATGTGCTTAGATTTTAGTAAACTTGCATCATCTCATTTCTTACCTTCTCGAGCCACTGCTGGTGTAACATGTAATTTCCCCCCTTTCCAGGAAGCCTTCAAAGCAGTGGAGGATATACATGGACTGTTCTCATTGTCCAAAAAACCTCCAAAGCCCCAGCTGATGGCAAATTATTACCACAAAGTTTCCACTGTATTCTGGAAATCGGGAAATGCACTTTTTCATGCTTCCACGCTTCATCGTCTTTACCATCTCTCAAGGGAGATGCGAAAGAATCTCACACAGGATGAGATGCAGAGGTAGGCAAATATTTGTGTGTAGGGTTGTTGTTTATAATAGTACTCATGATACGTTACAGTATGAGCAGCCTGAATAGCCCAGTTTGGCCCAAGCTCATCCGAGTTTGAGAGCTAAGTAAGGCTAGCTGTGTAAGTAGTTGTATAGGAGACCACCAAGAAAGACTGGGGTCGCTGTGTGGAGGAAGGCAATGGCAAACCACTTCTGCTCACCTCTTGCCTTGAACTCCCCATGGTTGAGATTGCCATGAATAGGTTGCAACTTGACAGCACGTTCTTCTTACAAAGGGGGGAAAATAAATAGTGAGTGAAGCAATACTATTCGTAGTGTGTTTCTCTAATGTCCTGTTGGCAGGATGTCAACAAGAGTCCTCTTGGCCACTCTCTCAATCCCCATAACTCCTGAACGAACTGACATTGCTCGTCTTTTGGACATGGATGGCATAATTGTCGAAAAGCAACGGCGATTAGCAACACTTCTAGGACTTCAAGCTCCTCCTACACGGATCTCTCTTATTAATGACATGGTAAGTAACATATAGAAGATCACTTTTAGGTAGTTTATATCCTTGGTCATAAGTCACCTGAGTGACACTTGTGAAAGAACTGAAGAATATTCTAATGACCACCAAAATTGAGTAAAAGCTATTGGTTTCTTCTCTTGGATTCTACTTTGTAATTGTAATTCCAGTATGTCAGGGGCTGTTACACTGGATAGAACTAGTGTTACATGTCCCCAAGGGAACATAATTTATGTGGGCTTGCTTCCTTAAGTAATCTAACTGTAAAGGTAACATTCTGCACATTGTTGCAGCTGAGGATGCATGTTGTCCCCGTCATTCTGCTTGCAAGTAAAAAGTGGTTTTTAAATGTCCCAATAATTTTAATTGAAAAAGTTGTTTAAAAAAAAATTTGTTCATATTAATATTGCAGTAATGTTATGGCTGTGGTGGCTCAAGTGGTTAAGACGCTAAACTGCAGACTGGAAGGTCGGTAGTTCAGTTCGAGACTCGAGTGCCGCAACACGGAGTGAGCTCCCGTCTCTAGTCCCAGCTCCTGTAAACCAAGCAGTTCGAAAGCAAGAAATTGCAAGTAGATAAATAGGTACCACTTTGGTGGGAAGGTAACAGCGTTCCGTGCACCTTGGCATCTAGTCATGCTGGCCACATGACCATGGAAATGTCTCTGGACAGCGCTGGCTCTTCGGCTTGGAAACTGAGATGAGCACCACATCCCTAGAGTCGGATTCAACTGGCTTTTGAGCAAGGGAAACCTTTACCTTTACCTAATGTTGTTTAGTAATTTTCTTTAAGTAAACAAAAGTAACAACCTTCTATCATACTTTTTTTTTGTAGGTGAGATTTAATGTAGTACAGTATGTTGTCCCAGAAGTGAAGGAACTGTATAACTGGCTTGAAGTAGATTTTCACCCGCTGAAGTTATGTGGTCGTGTTTGTAAGGTAAATGGTGAAAACTTAAGAAAAGGGGGACTTCCATTTCACTTGCACGTAGTTCTTCTTGAAATTGTTGGGTGGAACATTGTGTGTTGTTACATAATTTTTTTTCTCTGAAGTTGTTCTTTAAACGAAGTTTTATCTGGGGTGTATGTGGGTTCTGTATGTGGGTTCTGTATGGGGTTGACTACCGGGGCGGGGGGCATACTTAACACTTCAGTGCCTTTTTTCCCTACTGCAAAGTACTCCCTTCCCACCTACTTTTATCTCCTTTGGGGAAACTTACGTATCCTTGTACATTTTCCCTAGCAGATGTAAAGGCAGCTTAGAGATAATGATTCTTTGAGTTTTGCAAATGATTTTTAATGGGCAAAGATGAAGGATTTAAATAGCTCCTTCTAACTTCTGCCCCTTTTAGATCACTGCTCTGAAGCTGCAAGTGGGAGGGAGAGAATCTGTGTCACACACAGTTCCACCATGAGAGCTCCTTGTTCTGTTTTGTTCTGTGGCTATTTGTTTATCATGTTTGACTTCATGTACACACTGCAAAGTATAAAACTACCAGGTCATACCAATTAAAAATAGCTTTTGAAAGTTTTCTTCATTGTAGAAAGAGAAGTGATACTGTTAGCAAGAAAAATTTCAGGTCTGTATTTGTGGTTCATTGTGGCATCAGTTATCCAGAAAATTGAATAATTGCCTATTAGTGGACATGTAATGAGAGTTGTTAAAGCACATTTCATTGTCTTTTTCTTAGTACCTTTAGGAACAAAGATATTTCTGATGTGCTAGATAATAGATGAAGGTAAATTAACAGTGTGGCAGATGTTAGTCATCACTGTCAGTCACCTTCAAACAAAACTGTATTTAATGTACACATTGTGAAAAATCAAAAAAGACACTGGGGAATGTGCTAGAAAATAATATTTTCTGACCACCTTTAAAATGGAAGGCTAATTTTGGTCTTGAGAATAATTTTCTGAAAATATTTAAAGGGTTCTTTAGATTCAGTTGCTTGAGCCCTTCCCACACACTCCTAAGTGAACTCTCATGAGCAATTACAGCATGCAAATTAGAAGCAACCAGGTCTTGGCTATCAAAATTCTCATCGTCTCAGAAAATCTGATATGTAACATTTTTGATGCAGCAAAAGTTTCATTGGCCAAAGTATGTGACTTTGTAACCTGAATGTTAAAATTGTTCCTGCAAGCGAGCATCTGGGAAGAACTGTGTGGGGGTGTGAGTGAGTGGGGGTTTGTGAAGTACATTTAGAATGATATATTGTCTGAACTGGCTTCTTAACTGGTGTCTTAAAAGCCTCTGAATGATTCTGTACAGGTTCTAAACTGGGTAAGAGACCAATCTGAAAAAGAATCAGAACTGCAGTTGTATATCCCTCATCTGCAAAACAATACCATCCTCAGATTGCTTCAGCAGGTATGATTACAAAACAAAGTTTTAAAAGTAGTGTATGGTTGTGGTAACTTTTCTCAGTTTCTTTGTATTTTAAAAAATCCATCTCGTGTAAAAGTGTAATTCTGTTCTGTTGATTCAAGTTTTGAAAGAGTTCCTTATTTTGGATGCACGTACATAGAGTGGATTTAACTAGCCTGTTGATTGGTGTGTCTGTTGCCTTTGATGTCCAGTTTCTTCATTAATTTAGCAACATAGCTGTTGCAGTTTGTGATGATTGGATGCTCTTCCCAGTAACATCAGCAACTTCTGCCCAGGTGGTTAGAGCAGCAATGTTTGCCTTGCTAGGAGGCGTGTTACTAGTGTGGTACCTATCAACGTGATCTGCCCTGTCATGCAAAGAAGTTATGTTGTCATCAGAAAACAATATGGGAACAACGCTAAGACAGCAGTAGCTCTGTTGCTTTGGTTACAAGGCTACAAGGCCTTGGTGAGTGACTGATGAGCTAACTGCTTTTGCCTTGTGCGGTCTACCATCAACATAACAATAAAATCCTGAACTGCTGAAAAATACTTTGCAACTGTTCTACTGAATGGTCTGTAAGCAGCATAGAAGCACTGCTTGAAACCCATATAAAAGGATCATTGCGTACGTTTCACGCATGAAAGAGCCAGCATCAAACCAATCAAAGCACTGTAATTGGCTCACGTTAATCCTCCAGCACTCAACATGAAAAGTGCATAGGAAGGCAATAGCCAGCATCCTCTCAGTTCTTTTTTTAAACATTTCGTATGAGGTATTTTTACACATTAAAAATACAACTGGCTAAATCATTCATGGATTCCATATGTCAAAACATTTTTTAATTCATACTATTTTGGTTGGACCTGTGCAGCACCACCAGCAAAAAACACCGGTGATCTTTCCTGCATTCCCCATTCCCTAGCAGCTTCTTGTGAATCCCTAAAAGAATACTAGGTGTTGGCGGACCCATACAGATAAGATATAGGCAGCATGCAGTGAGGTGGAGAAGAAGCAGGCAAAACTGTCCTCCTGCCTACTACATCAATAGAGCCTCTTGCAACAGAAGGCAGCTTCTTGTCTGGCAGAAGGATGCCTAGGATCCAGACCTTTAACTTCTTGATTTTTCACATGCACATTTCATTGACCTGCTTTCTTTGCATTGGTAAGCAGTGTTATTTCTGATGTGCGAAAGGAACAGTTTGAAAGCTAATTAGCAGCATTGCTGTAAATAGTGACTGCTGCCAGTCTCTTTCATACATATTATCTTGCTTGGTAGAATTATCAAGCCCTTTAAATATATTCAGAAACCATATGTTTCCCTTAAATGTTCATCTCTATTGTTAATGTTCAAGCTGTAAATGCTGATGTTTACTTTTCACAAGTATTTTTGCTCATTTAGAATTATTGGAAAAAGCTGAATATTCATGTGTCATGCAGGTGGCCCAAATTTATCAAAGCATCGAGTTTTCTCGTTTGACTACTCTGGTTCCTTTTGTTGATGCTTTCCAACTGGAACGTGCAATAGTAGATGCAGCCAGGCATTGTGACTTGCAAGTAAGTGCTATAGCAGAACTCTTCAGAATGTTCAGACACATTGTTCTTTAAGTAAATCTGAGATCTTGGATTAAAACATGCTGAAACCTGTTCAGGTGTGAAAACTGTTTTGTTCTTTTAGATGCAACGAATGAATACTGGACTAATTCATTCTTAAATACTTCTTGAGTTGGTACAAATGTTTACAAAAATATTTAGTCAGAAACTTGATATTCAGGTAACTTTTAATTAAAGATAATAGGTAGGAACAAGTTCCCAGAATAAATCTCCCTCTTCCCCTCTTGAAAAGTTGTTCCTCTGGATTGGAGAACCTTTGGGAATAGAGTGGTGTCTGCCCAGTGTCTTGGGGGTGGTGGTGGTTCTTATACCTGTTGAAGGAAGATACTTTCAGAACCGTTTGGGAGAAGTGTGCAGACAATAGACTGAAATTCTTCGGCCTTCCCTCATTGTTATTAGAAATATGGGCTATCAGGAAGCCCCAAGGATGATCAAGAAGAAGGTAACCTGTTAGTCTGCAGTCATGTGCAAAATGCATATGTTCAGTTTTTGCAATAGAGGTTTTTCTCTTCTGCAATCCTCGCCTCGTACTTAAATTTCCTTATACCCTTTTATGTTCAGCAGACTGGATGTTTTATTGACAGCAAAATTGGGGTGCTTTGCTAAAAGCCCGTTCTTGGACAATTTTTGCTGTTGATTCTGATGCAATAGAGAAGTTATGTTATTTTGTCATCAGGGGATGATACTCAGATCTTTGGATCATGCCTGTCTTGATCACATACCAGCTTTCTGCTGAGCCCTGGGTGTTAACTTTTCTGTTGACAGATAGTGATCCAGTATCCTGCATTGGGCAGGGGGTTGGACTAGATGGTCTGTATGGCCCCTTCCAACTCTGTGATTCTATGATTCTATCCTCTGATCATAAGAGCTTATTAATAAAAGGAAGAGGGAATTAGTAGAAAAACACATGCAGTCTTGTGCAAGATCTTGCTTTTTTAGTCAAAGAGCTTGCGCAAGAAGGGAGGAATGTTTTGTGCTATTTCCCCCAGAAATGTCAGCCCTCTGTGCTGGTATCCTACGTACTCCTTGGGGGTCCCCCAGTCATCAAGAGTAGTTTGAGAACTGCTGTTCAGGAACAGTGTAGAGATGTATTTCCTGACCTTGTAAACAGTACATTTCATTAGATCTAGTCCTTTATTTTGTGTCAGTTGTTACCGTTTCATTTAAGAAGGATAAATCATATATACTGTGTTAATCTTAGCATTCATTGGTAGTAAGGTGGGAAAGAATGCTAGTTGAAAACTTTAACACAGCTATAAAAATAGACTGTGGAATATCGTCCAAATATATAAATAAATTATCTTTACCTTCAAATGTTAAAAGGTTCGTATTGATCACACTACTCGAACTCTGAGTTTTGGATCAGATTTGAATTACTGCACTCGGGAAGATGCTCCTCTTGGACCACAGCTGCAAAGCATGCCTTCTGAGCAGATCAGGAACCAGTTGACTGCTATGTCTTCTGCCCTTGCAAAGGCTCTTGAAGTGATTAAACCACCTCACCTGTTGGTAAGTCATTAGAATTTGGAATACCTTTGAAAGTCTTGTGAGAAATGGTTTGGTATTCTTGGTCATCTCAGTAGTTCTTGTATTTGCTTTTGTTACTTTGCCTGGCATTGAAACTTCAGTTGGTTCATTCTATTTCATTGTATCTTTGATTCACTCTTTTCTTTTTGAGAAACTGCAGCAATTTCTTTCAAGCTAGGAAGGAAAAAGTAGAGAAGGGTGTGGGAGCAAGTAAGAGGGATAGTTTTAAATCTTTGTATATAGTCCCACTCTGTGAAAATATTGCCAGTGATGTCAATAAGAGATGGTGCTGCTTCTCATTTTTAAAGCTGCCGTGGTAAACACTGTTCAGCTACGTTTAAATTAACCTTTCAAGCAACTTTTATTTAGAGAACAGTTTTTTGTTTAAGTCTTACTGAATGTCATGAGAAATCTTGTTGCCCTCCAGTTTTCACACCCTATATGTTACTGCATCATTGTTTGGTCCTCTTCAGTTCCTGTATATGTGTTGTCATGAGAGCCAAATGTTAAGAGTTGTGTTGTCCATGTTAAAGACTGCTTAGTATTTCCTATGTATGTATTTGTGGTGTTCTTCTAAACAGCTGTGCATTGCAACATTTGTTTGGAATAATTGTTCAACTATATTAATTAATCCTATGCAGATTTACTCATTCTAAACCCATTTATTTCTGTGACTGGAATACCTCATCTCAGGATTGCAACGCAACAAAAAAAAAATGCAATAGTACTTCTTTGAATTTCAGCCGTGCTTTCACCTCTCATAATATATACATTTTAAAGGTGTTTTTGCTGTGCTTTTTAATCTTAGCTAGAGAAGGAAGAGCAACATCAACAGGCTGTTACAGCTTACTTAAAAAATTCAAAGAAAGAACATCAGCGTATCCTTGCTCGACGTCAGACTATAGAGGAAAGAAAGGAACGCCTTGAGAATTTGAATATTCAGCGTGAAAAAGAAGAGATGGAACAGCGTGAAGCTGAACTTCAGAAGGTTCGCAAAGCTGAGGAGGAGAGACTGCGGCAGGAGGCAAAAGAGAGAGAAAAGGAGCGCATTCTGCAGGAACATGAACAAATTAAAAAGAAAACTGTTCGTGAACGGCTGGAGCAGATTAAGAAGACTGAACTGGGAGCCAAGGCCTTCAAAGATATTGATATTGAAGTAAGAAAATTATTGATTATCCTCCAGAATGTGCAGATGACTTTAATTTTAATTTGTTCATCAACTAAGGACTATTTTGCAGAATGTATGAAGCTGACATATTGTTAGGTCATCTTAACTTAGTAGAATCTATGCTTTCAGAGGACCTCTAATAGAGAGCTTTTCCACACCTGCTACTTGAGATACTTTTAACTGGGGGTGGGTGGGGGTAGAGCACTAGGAACTGAATTTCAGGCCTTCATGTAGCACTGTACTTTACTGCTGAGTTTTAATCCCATCACAGAAGTCCCTTGCAAGTCAAGTTATGCCAACCACACAAGTCAGCTAGAATTCTATATTAAAAAACAATACACAATTAAAAACTCAGCCAAAC